GCTATGGGTTAAGCAGCATAAAGACTCTCCATCCTAGCTGTATTATTCACCAGAACACAGAGGTAGTAAAGGAGCCAAATGAACAGCAGAGACAATTACATCCCCAAACAACAGGACTCTTAAAAAGATGAACATAAGACAACAGACCACAGCAGATGTCTATGCAAACAGCTTCACAGATTCAGCAGAGCAATGCTGATTCTCACTGGACAAAGATGCAGCTCAGCCTCTTATTTCTTTAAGATTTTTTGTAACAACAAGCTCAAGTCAGTAAACCATTCTAATCCTAAAGGCTGAGCAAGGTGATACCTTTAACTGCATTACATTCAGGCAGCGTAAAAAAAAACCCTTATTGCAAAATGAAGTGATCAGTGCTTCTTTCACAGAGGCCTCCAAGTCTCAGTGGTTCCAATGCAGCATCCTCACTGGAAGCAAATGGATGTTATTGCAAGAGAGAGCAATATTTAAACAAAGCCATTTGTTCTTCCTCTCCTCATGATGCTATCTTATCACAGTCCAAGTGTTTTATATCAGCACACAGAAATTATGTGTAATGAACAAGGATGTTGAAGATAAATTCTAAGAGTTACAAAGCAAATACTTCCTTTCTCTGTAAACAATATGACTGAACCCACTTCTTGAAGAAATCAAGCTATATTTATATTCTCCCTCTTGAAATGCTACAGGCAGCCATAGAAGGATAAGTTTATAATAAATTGCTATATTTGGAAACCTTTGTTGCTAAGCATCTTCTAACATTCAGTACAGTTTATACCATTCATGTCCCTGCTACATAATTAACATTTCATATGTTGGTTTTTTTAAAAAAAAAATAAAAACAGTGCAGTGCTTATCTTTGCCAATATTTTAAAACCATTATAATTTTTTTAGGGAATTAATAAAAGACCACTTGGCAAATTAAATAAAGCAGAAGCAACAAGATCTCAAGGGCATACGAACACTGATATTGTATGCAAGGATGTGACCTCTGCTTGAGTTAAAACACTTCAGAAGGCAGCTGTTCACACTGAAACGTAGGCTACTACATAATTTAGGGCACAGGAGACCTCTCCCAGCCTTAAGAATATGACTCTCTCAGCTGCAGGCATAACTAAGCCCTTTTCTTGACAAGAATTCTGTGTGTGAATCCCTCAGAGGGTACTCCAGTCCTCAAATGTCTACCAAGAGGAGCACACTGCAAGATGATGTCCACAGGATGTGGTCCAGTGCCCATCCAAGTTATCTGCACGTTCTTCACACTTTGCTGTTGTTAACATATAAGAAAGCATCACTTAATTGGGGAAATCACAAGCATATAGAGAATCACAGCAAATCCCAATTTCTCCAGTGTGCTCACTACAGGTATTTTAACCTTGGACATGCAGTTATTTGCAGTTCTTTGTAAAACTACATAGTTATTGGTAAAACAGACAAATAACACTTCCTCAGCAAGTGAGGGGGACTACAAGTGCCCTTAGCAGCAATTAAGGTGGAGATAGATGCATATGCAGAGCTGTTGCCTGTTGACAATCCTGCAAGCTTTATAGGAAAAATACTAGGTATGAAGTCCCAAAGTCTTGTGGTTTCATTTTGTGAGAAGTTAGAACTGAATCTGCAGTAGAGGAAAATACAGTATTGGAAGAGAAATCCATTAATATTTGCACAATTCAACTAAAAACACTCTTAAATGACTATTTTATCAATCTATATATAAATGTGTGAAGGGTTTTGGTCATAATACCCTGTTTGAAAAAGTCTAGAACACGCTGCACAGATTCTCCAAGATTCTTGTCTACTTTTCCTCTCCTTGCCCATTCCTTCACACACAACACTGCAATTCTGTATACACAGGGGCCTAGAAACACTCAGTGTAAGCTGAACATTACAGGTTCCTAAAACTTAATGGCTTCCATGAAAATGCACAGAGTTTCTGAACAGAGGCCTATCTGACCTCAGAAATGCCACTAAGCAAATAAAGGACTAAGCAGAAGAACAAACAACTGCCAAGATATTAAAATCATAGAATCAACCAGGTTGGAAAAGACCTCAAAGATCATCCAGTCCAACCCTACACTGGTGACTAGACCATGGCACTAAGTGCCACATCCAGTCTCATCTTGAAAACCTCCAGGGATGGTGAATCCACCACCTCCCTGGGCAGCACATTCCAATGCCTGAGCACTCTCTCTGTAAAAAGCTCTTCCTAATATCCAGCCTAACCCACTCCTGGCAGAGCTTGAGTCTGTGCCCTCTTGTCCTCCTGCTGGTTGCCTGGGAGGAGAGACCAACCCCCACCTGACTCCAACCTCCTGTCAGGGAGTTGTAGAGGGTGATAAGGTCTCCCCTGAGCCTCCTCTTCTCCAGGCTGAACACCCCCAGCTCCCTCAGCCTCTCCTCATGGCACTTGTGCTCGAGTCCCTTCTCCAGCCTCGCTGCTCTTCTCTGAACCCGCTCCAGCACTGTAATATGTTTAATCCTACAATAGCTTTTTACTTTTCATTAACACATGATCTTCAGAATTATATAGAAAACAAACATCAAAGCTTTTCTAATCAGGTATCTTAAGAAACCTAACTAGAGATGCAGAAGTGAAAAGCCCTACAAATACTACATTTACCATGTTACACTAATTACTACACCCTTGGTTTATACAAGCAGTATATACACAATACATGTGTTAAAAAAACAGAGTTGGAGTAGAAAGATAAGGAAAGATGAGTCCTCTGGAAACGATCTAAACTTTGTGTTAAGAATATAAATATATTGAGCTTGTAAACTGTCAGGCTGTCCAGGCACAAATGAAGTACCTAAGATATAAATGGGGTAAGCAGGACTTGAGAGTCTCCCACAAACCACTACTGCAAAGCAATCAGCAAGCAACAATAATCTTGTACCAAAACCCGAACATGTGTTTCTGAGTCCTGACTTCCTTTTTCTAAGTTACCTTCCACATCTCACCTGTACTTACACACACACCAAGTCTCAAAGTGGCACAAGTAACCCTAAAATTTGTGAAACAACTCTTACCAAGCATTTTATTATCTAGAAACGTGCACCAGCCACCTAAACTATATGTTTATAACCATGTTTTATGCTGCAATATAGATGAAATGTTACATTTAATTCTAAGTTCTACATTACCAAAAGGTTATTGACAAACTGGAGGCAGTTCAGAGAAAATCAACACAATTTCTCAGAAGACAGGAAGGACTTATTTATGAGGAAAGATTAAAAGAGCTAAATATTTATAGTTTGGCTCAGTAATGAATGAGGAGGTAGGGGACACGAGAACAGCCTAGAGATAGCTGAAGGGTGTAAACACTAAGGAGGGAGAGCAAACGTGTTATACAAGATGTAAATAGACATAATGGCATCAAACTAAACAAGGAAAACTTAGGCTGAATATCAGAGAGCATTCCTGAACAGCAAGCTAGCTTGGCCCACAGCACAGTTTCTGAAGTGAAGCAATAGAAGACCATTGCTTGAACAACAAACAAGACTAGACAAAACACTGGAAAATCTGCCTATGGAATGATCTTGCTCTGCTGAGTTGATGAGAAGAAATAGTACATTATAAACACTGGTCACTTCTGTTTCACTCCAGTGAAAGCAGGAATAGTTTACAAGGTGTTGAAATAGTACTACAAAAATAAAGAGCCTAATCAGGAAAAAAAAAAACCAACCAAAAAAAAGAATCCAACTAGGAATGTTTCTTAACGACAAAGAACTTAAATCCAGTTTCTGTAATACCTCGACTGAATCATGTTTCTACAACTCTGATAAGGAAATATACACGTGAGCTGCAGAGAGTTAACGGCGCTGGGCCGTGTTCTCCCCACCAGAGGTCACTGCAAGTTAACAAACGACAAGGAAATTTAACAGCACAGGTTCAAATTTCAGGAACCTGAAATTTCAGGAACCTGTCCACAAATTCGTATGTGAGAATTATCCCTTAAAAATTCTGGAAATTGGCAAGTAAAATCCTTTCTGTTCCAGGTGCCATCACCCCTAACAAAACTTCTGGCACCTTCATAGTCAGTTCCGAAGCAAGAGTTATCCATGCCCTGTGCCAGCCAGAGGGAGCTGTCCCGGAGCCAAAGCAAATAAAAGTAACCAGCACATAGAGCAAACATACTTGTGAGCTACAAGGGAGCAAATATGCTAAGCAGAGTCATATTTTGACTAGACTGTTTTAAAAGACTGTTCATGGACAGGTTTGAGGTGCAACACCTAAACCATGTAGATGCATTCTAGCAAAACACAAGAACATGTGTAAGAACTGATAGAGCTTTAGAGTACTTTTAATATGTCATCCAATGAAAACAGAGGTGAGCTCATGTTGGAGTATTCCCTGGAACATCCTGAACCCTGGCTGCATGATGCATGGGATGATTCTCCAGGGCCATGCCTGTTCCACAGGCCAAGGGATACTTTCCAGCCCAGCTCACCCAGCTCCACTGCACAACCTGACCCAGGTGTATCCAGTCCCTGTCACAAGCTCCTCACCTGCAGGAAAATGGAATTCAGGCACACAGTATGGACAGAGCCAAAGTAAACACCACTCATGCCTACAGTCTCCACATCCTGGGAACATGGAACTGCAGGACAAGCTGTGTAACCTGGGGGACTCAGTGTTTTTGCATGGAAGGGCTAGGCTTCTAGAGTAGAAGTCTCTGAGGGGTGTGTTACTTAACTCCCTAAACCTTTGGTTTACTGAGAGACAGAGATCTATCTAATAAGCTAGAAATGGCAGAAGGAACTCCCCAGTGTTATTCATCTTATTTGATTTTAAAACCTATTAATACTCAGAGTGCCTGATCTGCCCAAGAACAGGCTGGTTTTCCTCATATTCCATGATTGGCTACATTTTCTTTGACACAAAATTTGATAAAACCTCTCTGTTTCAAAAGCTATTAGTACACACTGTGGAATTGTAATTTTATTTAAGTGAAGAGACTAACAGCAAATCAGATCTTTACTTAAGCTAAACAAAGTCTTACCTGCCTCCTTGCACAAAGCTGCCAAATCTGCACCCACATAACCGTGTGCACTATCAGCCAGCTGTGCCAACTCTGCTGCTGTGAGATAATGTGGAACTTTCTTGAGAAGCTTTTGGAGGATGTCCAGACGGTCCTGGGCATTAGGAATTCCGATCTCTATCTCTCTGTCGAAGCGCCCAGGCCTGCGCAGAGCTGCGTCCAGCGCCTGAGGGCGGTTGGTGGCCCCGAGCACCACGAGCTGCCCCTCACTCCCTTCCTGAAGGCATCAAACAGTGCAAAATCATGATTTTAAAATACAATTCAATTTATGTCGCAGAGCTTATAAACATATCTCTTGCTTACTTTTGCCAACTGCTACACACACTACAATCCTGGTGCTAACTCCAGAGGAACAAAGCAAACCTTGCAGAATATATACTCCCTAAGTGATCCTATCCAACCCATCCCTAGTTGCAATTTAGCAATACTATAGCCTGCACATACATACAGATAATACAAGAATAACTTTACTCCAAGCTGCTCTCATCCCAGTGTTTCCCACTTTCATTCCCAGGAACCTGTTTTCCTGTATCAGGAAAACAAGCACCGTGGAAAGAAAAAGAAGTGTTTCAGCTAAAAGGCAGCATTGGCACAAGGACTAAAAGGTATTCAGGAGACCTTGAATAAACAAGATTGGGAAACAAATCAGTTAAGGTATCAAAACCTACAGAGACAGGAGGTTATAAAGCTTCCTGTAAGTTCAGC